GATGCAGTTTTAGGAATTGAAAAAAATTAAATCTTTTTTGTGTCATGTACAGACAAGGCAAGACACACGCAAAGACATTTACAATATGCCATGAATAATTGTAACTAAGACATCGAAAGCAGGAGACCACAATTCTTTGAATTTGCTTGTTTTTACATCAGTTACAAATTCATAAGAACAATATATTGTATATCAGACTGAGCTATAAGAGAACCCCTGATTCTCGAAGTCTGGAAAAAAAAATTGACTGAAGAAGAACACACAATAATGATAGTAAATCATTTGTTTGGAAATCTTGAGGTATCCTCATGTTACTTGGTTAATGAAAACGTTATAGGAAAGAAGGAAATTGATGGTTTTTGGGAGTAGATTACTATAAGATACAAGGACGTTATGGAGGCACAACTTTGGGTAAGATTACTAAGATAATTAGTAAGGGAGGTAATGATGCAATACATGTATAACATTAATTGCTGTTAAGTGTTTATGGATGGTGAAGAACAAAGTTTGTTCAGACAAAGGGTACCAATAACAAACTGAAAACAACGAAAATGTGAGAAAATCTGTTCAACAATTTTACTTTCAGAAACCAATCCATTAATTGTAAAATATGCTCCAGTTCTGTATCATGCATTGAAAGTTGCTGGTGACCTATAGTATATACCACTGTTTTCTTGTTTAACCTTTAATCTGTTTGTTCATCCATTGTATTCACGAATTTACCTGATAGCTTTTTCAAGATGATCTTTTTTAAAATATTCAAATTTGAGAGATTGTTTTAGCAGGAAGAAAGATATGAGTATTTGAAAAGTTCTGAACATTGAAAAGATCAGGGGAATATGTATGTTCTTGTATAGTGATGACAGAATATTTTTTATTTAATACATATTATTATAACTTACTACTAAAATGATGTCATAATTCTGTTGGTTGAGACTATCAAATCTTTACAGTAGCATCTCCCAATTCAAACCCTTAAGTGGGGCTCTTGCAGACTGCTTAGTTTTCTATTCAGTTCTGTAAATCCCACATATGTACTGTGGCCCTGAAAAAAATCTGTGCTTTAAGTTAAAAATTCTAGTGAATTTTTGTCAGATTGCTTGATTCAATTAGCTATGTGATGTTTTCATCCATAAACTGTTAAGTATTTTTATCTAATTTCTCATAAGCTAGATATTTTGATTGTTTTCAGGAAACAAGAGTGTGTGGCATGGAAAATTAGATATTGTTATCAACAATGATTTAGCTGTTGAATCATCTGAGGATAACCCCATCAGATGAAAAAGATACAGTGAAGTCAAATCAAAGTGTGCTTTGTCAAGATACCCAAATATCATTCCACAAACCATAGTGCTTCCTTACTTTCAGAAAAAAGGCACATCCAGAAAGTAAGGTAAAAATGTTCCTATTGTTCTTTTTTTGACACTTACATGTAGTAATATTGCAATATAAAATGCAATATAAAGGGTGGCTGCACTTAACCATGTTTGGTGTGTGTGTGTGTTTTTTTGTCGCTTCTTTTATTTTTAGATCAATATAATTTTACCTATTTTTACTTTTGTATATTTTTTAAAGAATCTTGTAAATTTGGAACCAAATTTGAATGTTAAAAATGATTTTATACTGATACAATACAATAATTCTATGTTTTTTTGTCCTTGCTGCATGTTTGTCTATTTATCTCCATTTGACACAACTTTATTAATGCAATTAAGAGAAAAATGCTCTTTTTGAAAACTGATTTTGTCGCAAATTTCGCATGTCCCGAAGTGCAGTCATCCTTTACTGTCAAGAACTTGGGTACAATTTTGTTTACTCAGGGACGTATAATATATTCGAAGAAAAATGTAGAATATACAATGTTCGTCCCTGGCTTCCTATCAAGTCTTAATATATGTAGTAAGTTTAAGAGTTGTTGTGCTTTGCCTGCATTGACTCTATCTGGTCTCCTAAAACTGGTTCCGCAAAGTACATATACCTATAGCCATATTCTTATCCTCTTTTTTTGCAAGATATGGAAGAACAGCATAATACCAACAGCATGGTCTGTAAGCAACATCAAATGACCAGAAAAGGGAAAGCTCACAAACTGTAAGAGAGGCTTTGCTTTACTTCGATACTAAGCAATATCTTTGGTAAAATAATAAGAGCTGCTGTGATCAAGCATTTATGTTAAGAAACATAATACAAATGTAGAACAATGCACGGAATGGCAGACAACTCACCATAATTTCATTGACATTGAGTAAGCTTTTGATAGCATTCACAGAAACAGTTTGTGGAAGATCCTAAGGCTCTATGGTATATATACCATCTAAAATAAAGTTTTCAAAAGGCAGTCATGGTTTCTATAGGTTCATTGCAGCAAGGTTACAGCAATGTCTGCAGCAGACTTGTTGCAGATGTTTGCAGGAAGGCCATTTTTGGTAAAGAGGCGCGGTAGTGTATCCTGGTAGTAAATGTTGCAGCGTTTCTCTGTTTTCACACAAGGGCCAATCCATTGTATCCAATGTGTTTCATCTTTGCAGATTTGACAGGATTGGTGCCACATCATAAAATGATCTTAGAAGTGTGGATACCGCCACAGCGGCCACACTTCTGGATCTTTGCTTAGATTTCTTATTTAACCCTGCCCTATCGCCCTCTTACTCAACTGACTTTGCTTGTCTGTCATGTCATCTACGTTTTATCTTTACTTGAACCAGAATTCGTCTTTTTTTAGTGTCAGTACTTTTCCAATAGCAGTTTTTCGATGTTTCAAGACGTTGTCTTCCTACTGCCACTGTCCCAACTGTCATTATGTCTTTGCCTACGTTTTTAAACCTGCTTTGGAGGCTGACCATTTTCTTCCTGATCTTTCAACTACTCTACGCTGTTCTAACAATGACCTTATTCACAAATATACATGTAATTTGTCGTTTGGTCCAATCTTGATCGACGTCTTTCATATAGATCGTTATTTTCAAACTAAATTGTCTGCAGATTTTCCATTTACCCGATCATTACAAGGGGCACAGGGCGGGTGTGACCGGTCGACAAGGGATGCTTTTACTCCTCTATGACACCTCATCCTACTTTTGATGTTTTCAGAGACCCATGTTTGCCCTGCTCAAAGAAGTGTTTAGTTGGATTTTTTTAGCATGATTATTGTTCGCTATTTTAACATTTTGTCTTACTTTTTCATCTATAGAATCCTTCAAATCCATTACTAGAAGAGCTTTAGTACCTGCAACTTGACGCTCATGCTATACAGCCTTTTATATGTATAACGTGAGGGAACACTCAACTATTTTGTCGTGTGTTTGATTGTTTTTTTGTAGCTTCTCAACTGCTGTCAAGGTGATTTCTTCTAATATATGTAGGTGGCTATGCTAATCTTGTTGGTATATAATTCCTTGGTAGTAATGTTTATTATAACTGGAGTGAGTTCACCTTGTACCTTAAGATGAAAATGATGTGTAATCTTTTCTTATAATCCGTAGACTTGATTTCTTTTGCTTAAAAACCATTCTTACGGAATACCCATGTCATCTTCCAAGAAATCTATTAACCAACAGGTCTAGATCTTGATCGGTATCTGCGATGATTGTTGCATCATCTATGAAGTCTGTACTTGATGTTGGCGCTCTTCATGTTTAGTCCCATGACAAACAAGATAACTTAGACGTTCCATCCAGTAAATATTCCCGTTTTTGATTTCTGTCATATTGTTTTGAATGTGCTTGTTGCAGCTGAGTCCCTCTGAAATAATTTCGTATAATCTATTGACGTGCTGTGAATTATGATAGCGATTTAAGCAGTAAATTGGTGCTTGTATGTTCAATGTATCCTGGTGCTCCAGCTTTTTTGACAGATGTATCTACGTAGTTGTTATGTGTCATATACTCGTATGACGTCACCCTTTTAGCCATGATAGAGAAAAAAAAGCTTTCCTACATTTAGGAGGGGGATTGTCTAAAACTGACTTGATTTCTTATCCTTTGTTATGAAATATGCATCTGCTTTATGTCAGTATAATGGTATTTCCCCCCTTGCTCCATACTACTTTTAATAACTTCCACAGATATTTTGAAACCGTTTAGCATTTCTTACATGTATATACTTATTAATGGAATTTCTTTTTGTCTTGGTGAAGATGAAGATCTAACTTTGTTCAACTCAGCCACTACTTCTTTCCATGATAGTTCCATGTATTCAACGGTACAACTAGTTCTCTCTATTCACGTTTTCTTTGGCCTTTCCATTGACTCTCATGTCGCTGTGTATCTCTGCTAGATGTTTTCCACTACATTCATCCTTTGACCCAACTATGTTACATCGATTGGTTTGTATGTGTTGGCAACAAGTATTGCTTTTTTTCCCCATTTTCTCTTCTGGCTTTCCTTATTCTTTCTGTCCTTTGCAGATTAATTTTTTATCTCTTAATATTGATTATAGCTCGTTCATTCCTTCTCCTTTCTCACCGTTTGCCTTTTTTGTACGAGCTGCTTTGTAATAGAATTTATTTTCTCACTCTCAGTGTCTGCACTTCTTTCTAACACCGACTAGGTTTATGATGCCCTGAGTGCATTCTCTCCTTTGGTCTTACTATCCGTTCTTGTTCTGTTGACAATGTGTACGTCTACTACAGTTAATATGGTTTCTAATACCTTATCAAGGTTTCCAATCTTTATCAAGGTTTCCAGTCTCTTATCATTTGTTGCCATTGTATATTCTGTTTCTTTTCGTTGAAGGTTCTACAGTTGAACCCTATTGATTTTTATACCCTTGCTGCTCAATGTTGATCTGAGTGGCTTCATTAAGTAAGAGGTCCTCGACACTGGTGTTTATCCTGACTGTAGTCATCCGTCGACTCATCAGTGGTACCTATGTGTTCCCTCAGTTATTTCCCAGATCTACACTTAGTTCATGTCTGTTATATTCTTAAACATTAATAGGCCTACACAGTGTTCCGCGAGACTTCGCGAGATTTCGTTACTGGAGATAAACAAAGACGACGCCATATTACTTGGCATAAGTGATTGTGGTATGTAACGGTATGGCGTTCTCCATTCTCTATTGGTCGAATTATACAGCTGGGACAGCAAAGTTGATGCGTAAATCAGAAACTGCCGTTCAGTCTGAACATGTGTTAAAGTTTGTATATGACAGAGATGCGCAGTTTATTAGAGGAATTGTTCAAGCCTCCATGCGAGACCGGAGCTACCAGGTTACAGTGAGTTTATCCCATTTCTTTTTGATTTTTGAAAGAAGAAATAAGTTTTTTTTTAATCTTTATATGTAAAGCATTAAATAATGCATAATGTACAACACGGTTTGAAGTAAATATGTTTTATCGTGCCTACCTAATAAACCCAGAACAAACTCTTTCCGAATTTCCTAGATTAAAACTGAAAGCGACCATATCTTTCGTATCTATAACTATACTTTTTTCACGACAATTTTCATGTTTATATGTAAACACGTTTTTTTTTACTTTCAGAATTGATAGTGATATAAGTAGAATTCTATGTGGTTATTTTTTATTTCATTAGATAACTCTTGGTTCCAACTACACCGTAGAACAGAGCACATGTGAATGTGTAAATGGGATGGACAAATGTCACCATAAAGCCAGCATTCTTCTCTATGGGTAATTTATATGCAATTTATTATGTTATTTCACTTGTTCTGTTTTGTTTTTAATAGGTGGTACCAAATTTAGAGTTAATCAAAACATGCACACCTATTCAGATTGTGACCTATAAAAACATACTGGTAAGTATATCAGTCCCCGTCAGTGATTAATAGACTGTTTCACTGTAACTGGGGTATTGCTCTTTCGCAGGGCAAAATGATATAATTTGATGAAATATGACGTAAAATTAATTGTTAAATATACGTCATTTGATTATCTGCCAACAAAAACTTCTTCAAACGTCATTATTTTGCCCTGCAAAACAGTAGCACCGCAATTACCGTGAAGGGGCTAATTAAAAAGTGTGGGCTGGTTACTCCTATGTTACATCAGTATTTTTTTTTAAGTGAATTTACAAAATATATATATATGTTACTTAGGGGCCGACAAATCCCACTGCCCAATACTTGGGAATTTTAGGGGTTAAGTCAATTACCAGAGGGAAAGTGACTTTTTAATGAAAAAAATTGATAAGTCTTAGTCTTGCAACTGGACAAAGGGGCTTTTTTTTTATATATAATTTTTCTTCCTACATTTTGAAATTAATAGATTAAGATCTATTTGTCAGCCCCTGGGATCACTATTATATTTATGATATAATATACCTTAGTAAATTTATGGAACACCTTGATACTAAACAGGTACAAAAATCTAAGCAAAACTGATGTACGCCAGAGTTGGATTAAACATCCAAAGAGTGCACCACCTCGACAAACTAAAACTATGGAAGACCTTTTTCCTGCACCAGACAGGTTTATAAATTACAGGTAAGCACTTATTATCATGACTGTTTCATGTATGGTGCAAAATAATTATATATATATATATATTTTAGGAATGACTCTAATTCTTGGCCAAATTATTCGAGTATAACCTGGTTTGGGTCAGTTTATTTAATTATAATTTAATTTTAAAATCATTGAATAACTATGGGTGTAAAACTTCGTTGCTTTTTATTAGTTCAAATTTGCCGCTCAATAATACAACCGTAATAACGGAAGTGATGGGAAGCGAGGGGAGGTAAAAACTGATACAAATGCCTAGCAGCCTTGTTGTTTGTTTACATGTGGTAAGATCGAATTTTTGTTTGAAGTTAAAGGTACATTTATTAAATCTGGATTTTTCCATGAATCCCGAGGACTGGAAATGAGAGGTTTGTATGGATACAGATGATTCAGCTGGTTGTTAGGGGGGGGGGGGTGTCCCCATACCAAACCAGGTTATACAGAAATAATTTGTGTTCCTTTTTGGATATTAACCAATCAGAGGCTAGAATACAAACAAAATTAAATTATATATATATATATATATATATATATATATATATATATATATATATATATATATATATATATATATATATATATATATATATATATATAGGTAACTCTTGATGGCTCGAACTTCGATCTCTCGAAGTTCTTGATCGCTCGAAGTGAGTCTCCGGTCCCGAATTTTTCCACTATATAACTAAGCAAATTTACTCTTGATTTCTCGAACTCTTGATCTCTCGAAACCCTTGATCCCTCGAAGTCAAAATGCAGTCCCGCTATGCATATTCTATTAGAATTTACCCTCGATACCTCGAAGTGGCTATGTGTATACAAGATTATATAATTAGCACCTTTACCTGGACATTTAAATGGCCCCAGGCAGAAGACGCGGGTCTCGAGGAACAGGATGTTTATTCAGGTGACACTTATGCTGCAAGGTGATAATTGATTTATAATGAATCATATTTTGCCTATATGCTATTAAAATAATTATCATCGACTGTCTTACGATAATTTAGAGACGCAGTGTCATTGAAAAGTAGTAATTTATTAAAAGACAAAACACTAATTTAATTTTTATTTCGAGTCAGTGTCAAAGTTAAACGAAATATGAAAAAAGCAGAAACAGCCTCAATGTCAATATGACGACTATTATTGGACAAATACTAACAGAACTTCGTTCAATGATTATGTTTGGAATAGTCAATGCTATGTACGACGCTGTAAAATGTCGTTTTCATGTAACGAATGCGTAGTATGATATCCGTATTACAAAGAATAAATAGATATACATGATATGACGATATACATTTTTGCTTTATTCAGTTTAATGAAATATTCATCTGAATTACGAAAAAATATCGTTGTTTTATAAAAACCACGTGTAAAAGGTTAGCACTGCATGAAAATCATTACATCCGGTAAGACTAATTTTAAAACCTGTCAACAAACCCGGAAAATTCCGGACTCTTGAAAACTCGAACTCTTGATCTCTCGAAGTTTTTCCTCGGTCCCGCGGACTTCGAGGTTTCGAGAGTTACCTGTATATATATATATATATATCAAAAGAGCTGTCTCTCTCAGGGTGATCAATTTAGTGTCCCTTTTTTCTCATAAAAATTCTTTTCAGTATATAATAGAGAGAGAGAGAGAGAGAGAGGTAAACACACAAGTATATTTATATCTGTTATACATTAAATTAAAATATCACCAGGACAATAGATAGACCTGTTGATGGCAATGACAGAGACTTCTTGTACCAAAAGTTGAGACAATCGGGAAGGTTTTCAGGTGGAATATTTAAAATGTGTCAAGTTTTATCTTGTTCTGTTTGTGTTATTTTCATGTGTATATTTATTGCATTACTTTATTTTGTTGGAAGTTCGTTCTGTTCATTACCAAAATGTGTTAAGATATTAACTATTTTACATTCCAGTATAACTTTCATTGCTTGAGTGAAACATAATGGATAATGTTTTCAGTTTTTTTTTTCGTCTTTGTCACCAATTGTCCTAAAATACACCCTTTTCTGTACCAATGTTTTTTGGTGTATTGAATGACAAACATCTTAATTTTAATTTTTCAACAAATGTACCAGAAATTTAAAACCCAGCCATAAAATGAAATTGGTGAATAGACACCTTTTTATGTTTTCAACATTTTACATGTAAAGTTATTTTCATCACTGTGACAATTCTTCACATTGCAAGGAACCTTATGAATAAAATTTATATTTTCATAGCCATGCATTGGATTTTGGCACCAGAGCCACCTGTACCACAGGTATGTGTACCAGTAATTGACGACTTGTTGGCTAATCAAGAGTTCCTGGCTGCAGAGCACCCCATGACCTGGTTGCGACAGAAACTGATTGTGAACGATCAACAAATTCAACAGGTATTGCAAAATGCAGACCAGTACTAAATTTTAAAGTGTGTTTATGTAATATAAAATGTTGTCTCAACTAGTTGAAATGTTTAGTAGTTGTGATAGTATTTTTATACTGACAGATTGCTGCTTTGACTGTTGGGCAAAAAGACAACTGTCTCTGGTCTACAGTTCGTAAAAATCGTTTAACAGCTTCTAACTTTGGATGTGTTCTGGCAGCAGTAAGAAGAAACAGGTACATCAAAATATGTATTTTGTAAATCTTTTATGAGTATTAATGAAATTATGCTTGTTCTTAAATTAAAAAGTAACTGAAATCATTTTCTCCTGCACTTTGTACAGATATCCAGCTTCGCTGTTCAAGCGCCTCTGCCAAGCATACGACCTTTCAAAAAAAGATGCTATAATTTGGGGTGTTTGTAATGAAAGAGTTGCCATAGATAAGTACAGGTCATATGGAGATGCAGTAGTAGAACCAACAGGTAAGATGGAGGAAACTATTTTCACCTGCACTTAAAAATTCTTAGTCATTACTTTCTGTTATACATGTTTGCTATCAAACTGTTATATATTTATTTTTTATTTTCAATAGGCATATGGCTCCACAGTAATGGTGTACTGGGGTGTAGCCCTGATGGGATTGTACGTCGGCCAGCTGCGTTTGGATTCCATCACCAATCTCCACCTCTGATTCACATAATGCAGGCATGCAATATTCGGCCTACGGTACTAGAAGTAAAGTGTCCATATACAGCCAAAGAGAAGACAATTTCTGAAGCAATTGACACCATTGATGATTTTTGCTTAGGTAAGCAACTTTTACATAGTTTTAAAAAAAGATTTTGTATAAAAAAAATTCCCTTATAATTTACTGTTAACTCCATATATGAAAAATGATTGAATGAATCCCTATAACATTTAATCCTCTTGATCTTTTATGCTGAACTGCAGTTTTTGTCAATATATGATGTGTATATTTTCATTTAAAGAATTTCAAGAATTTTGTGGAGAGAGAACGTACAAGTTAAAGGAGACCCATCCGTATTATGATCAAATTCAAGGACAATTATTTATAACTGGGAAACAAGCCTGTGATTTTATGGTTTGGACACCGAAAGATTGTGCCATTGTGAGGATTACCCAGGACCCTGTTTGGCAGACAAACATTTCTGTTCTTACTGACTTTTATTTCCATAGATTTATACCACACTTACAGCAGTAATCCTTCATGTATACATGCTAGTTAGTCATGTATAGCATGCAAGCCATGTTTGAAGAGTAATATTGAATGTCAATATCTGCAAGTTAATCATATTTTAATCTTGAATAAACAATAGCTTTCAAACTTTTTCAGTTATTTTCTGGTACAAAATTCTGAGCAATTTCCTGCAACAAAGGGTCTTGGAAATTTACCAACACACAACATAACTGGAAGATTTTTGTACTTATATATCTGAGCTGGTGTGGGATGTGTCTCAGTATTTCATAATTTTTTATTCTTTCATTAGCACGTTCAACGTGAATTCTAGATCTTGCAATTTTTCTACAGAGCTGGACTTCAGCAGGGGTGTACTGAGACTTTGCTGTCAAAAAGGGTGGTATATTAAGATGCACACCTTGTGGCAAGAGTTTATGTATTGTGAACCCTTTATCTGCAAGAATCATATCACCAGGAGACAGTTGGTGCATAAGTCCACAATGCTCAACAATCGCTACATCTGAAGTACTTCCTGGATACAATTTACTTGCAAAAACTAGTGCACCATTTGGGGCAACACCAGTGACACTTTTAACTGTGTGGGAATTTTTATACCCACTGTAGGTACTAGCTTGTAGCCTCATGTCATTACCAGGAACATCCTGTGTAATTTCAGTGGCATCAAGCACAATGCGACATGCACTGAAATCGCCAAAACTTGTTGGCATTGAGCCTTTGCATTTTTGCAAAGTCGGAATGTTATTTTCTATTAACCCCTCATACAAAACTTCATGCATTGCACAGATCTGTGAAGTTACAATATTGTTCACTGAGGATGCACTTGTGTTGAACCTCTCGGCAAGATCTAAGAGTGGCATGTTCATGGTAAGTTTCATGAGGGTCATAAGCAGTTGATCACTTTGTGATATAAATGAAGGTGTCCATCCATCGATGTACTTGATGGTGAATCTGCACATCATTTCGTCAATAGCTTGAAACATGTCTGGTCTTAGACTTGTATACATCAGCATCTATATAAATAATGATATTCTTAACACTGCATTTGATTTTGACCATTATACAATGGGGAGTAATTGTGAAATGTTGCAAAAAAAATCTCACTCTGGTAATACTTTTACAGTATAACAAACATGTATGTGAAAACAAAAAAATTTAATAAAAATTCAACTCTATGAATAGAATACTGTCCAGCAGTATAACATGATTTTTTTTCTTATTTAGTATATTATTTCAATCATTATTTGATTTCTAGCTGCCCACAGTCCACATCCTTGGTAGATGAAGTATATCTTTGAAACTGTCCAGCAGTCTGTATATCTATGGGACTGTCCAGCAGTCTGTATATTTATAGAACTGTCCAGCAGTCCATCCATTTTCATTTTTAAACACTGAAAATGAAATGATAAACCACAAAGCATCTTGTTCCAAAGAAAATTTGTAGCAAGTATATAAATGCATAAGGAATTAAATTGGTTTTGCTTTGATGGGTTCTTTGAGTCACATTTTGAATGTACTTGTATCATGGGCTTGAAAACTGAGATCTATAATCAACTGCATTTTAAAGGATATATATTCTGTTGGATTTGAAAGTAAAATTCCCTGGGACAATGACAAATAAAAGTACTTGCAGTTGTTTCTAAACATTGAGTGATATTTAGTGTGAAACGTACCTTTCTTTCATCTCCTATTATGTCCTCCAAAGTAAAAGCTCTTTTTGTAGACATTGCCTGAATCTGCCTTGTTAAATCTTTTACTTGCAGTTTCAAATTCTATTGAAGTTAAATCAATTTAGTTTTAGGTGAAAGAATTTTCACAATATGATGATCATAATGTTGTTACACAAAAAACTGGGGAAAAAAAACAAACAAACCAACCTTGTGCTCCTCAGTTAACCGTTGAAATGAAAGCTGGTATGGGTGGTCAGTTACATGTGGAGGAAGCACAGGGACACATGTATCAGAAGAGGTGCTGCTTTCATCTGTGTTCACACACTGCTTCTGACTGTCATATTCTTCCTCAGATTTTACAGTTCTAATAGGAAAAATTATCGCTATCATGTTTACTACAAATATTAAAATTTACTTCCTTTTAAATTTACATTTACTACAAAATTTACCTTGAAATTTTATTTGGGTCTGGAAAATCAAACCCGGAACTCCAGGGAAACTGTGTAGGGCCATTCCCCTTTATGCCGTCTTTGAAATGGCAACTGCAAATCCTGTCCATATTAGGATTCACACATCTATCCTTGCGTCTAGAATTAGGTCAAATTTATACATATAGATGTTGAATACATTATTCACATCAAACAGAAGATTAATCGTTTTACTTTGAACACCCCCCCCCCCCAATACGATTTTGACATACATATTTACATATTTAATGCATCTTACCTGCAGAGTCTCTCCCATCTCCTTGCCAACGCTTGATTCGGTGGGAATCTGAACATTTTACAAGATTTCTGTAACCCTTGGTGGTTACAACCAAAGACGAAACAAATAGTCATCCTAGTAATGTATTTGTTTATCTCCGGAAGCTGTTTACCGGAAGTTACGTTGTGCGAGACTGTGTAGGCCTATTTCACTTGATTTCTGTCGTTGCTCCGGTCTAAGTCTATTGCACTACTCGGGTCGTTACATTTCTATCCTGCTCACTGGGTCTTCCATCTTTTCCCCTCTCGGAAGACCCAGAGGCCATTGCCTGTTCATCTTTGTCAAATTTTTGTCTGGTGCTCCTTTATAGGAACTGTTTGTTGGGTGCCAATCCTTCACACCCTTGTTTCAACTTTCCCTGAATGCCATTCTGTCTCTTCAGATGTCATCAGTTCTTGGTTGTCAGCCAGTCTATGCCAGTAATTACTGGTACATGTAGGTTAAGTTGCTTGCATACATCATGTACGGTTTTGATGAAATAATTCCTATTTTTGTATTTGAATTATAAATTAACTTTACTTTTGATATGATAAACTATAGAAGTAATTTTTGTTTTAAGAAGTTTTGTTAGGAATGGTCTAGGAATACAGTTAAACTGTACCTGAATTATTTATGGTATTTGTGTGTTATTACATAGTATGTAAGAAAAATGATATAAAAACATACCTTTTTTCTTTATGACACCTGTATCAGCCCTTTGGCGTATACTAATCATTACCCACGTTTAGTTACCTTGAAAGTCTCTACGCCGTATCTGCACATATTTCTCGATTTTACGAGGGTTGATCCCAAAGTAATCTCACACCTGCTATAAAATTTTTAATTATCAAATGTCATCAACAAAATTTGACATTCTAGATCCCCTACCAATTTTAATTTTTGCCTGAAAATTTCGATCATATAAAATACTTTTTGAAAAATAAAGATAAACGCAAGTCAGGTTTAGTCTACCGCCGCATGGCAAGAATGTTACCGACGTTATGACGTTATTTTTTGGCACTCATTTTCATTTCATCCATATATCTTTTTAACCTTACGTGCTCCTTTTTGATAATCTGTACTGCCATTTTGCTATAAACCGTCTTCTTATGAGTTGCAATATCAATTTTTCTAAACTTTGTCCAGATTTTATTTCTAAATTCATTTCTCTTTGTGTAAATTTTATGTATAATCAGATTCAAAATGAGTGTCGAAGTGAACCTCACAACGACGTCGTTACATTCTTGCCATGCCGGATGGACGAGACCCAAAGCCGTGTTTGTTTTGATATTTTATAAAGTGTTGCATATATCATGTATATCTGAATGACATTTTAGAGCAAAATTCAAAACTTACAGAAGTATTGGTATGTAAAGTTTTGATGAAAACTTTCGATTATTAAAGATTTTGTAGCAATTGTAACATTACTTTCGGATCAACCCTCGAACTATACAGTAAGTATAAAGTCAGCAGTACAGTAGATTAATTTTATTAAATTTACTATGTGACAATTTCTCCCGTCTAAATAGTTATAGATAGGTTTAAGCTTCTGATTTAAACTTTTACTGTAATATAAATACCAAAATATCTTGAAAAACAAACTCGTGAAACTGGAAAAATCATTCCGTCAGCAGTTCTGAAGTCCTTTCTGTCCAGTATATTTTTATCCTTAGTGTCTTATTAGCAATGGTGTATAAAACTACAAATGCGCATTCAGTCAGAATTGAGTTTTCTGCACAGAATTTTTTTTTTAAATTCACCTTTTAATTGTCTTATTAGTAAATTTAATAATATTTTACATTACAAATCTACAGCTAAATATCAACAGCAATGGTTGAAATTCTGTGTGCACGACTTAACTCAAGTTCTTGATTCTTTTTAGTCTACATAAATTCTATTCTTATTTCCTATATAATTACGATAACACCATTGTTCTTTGGTAAAATGTATATAGAATACATTTTTTGGGGATAAAAGATACATATTACGGTGTTAAGAATATACAGGTATATGAATACCTTTTGTTTACGTACGGGTCAAAAAATATTAATTCGGCAATTTAACGTTTTCTTAAAAGTGTGTTATCATTATACTAGAACATGACTTTCACAAGTTAAATTCACAATTTACGATACAAAAATTCTGGAATGGCAATATTTCCATGTACTATTTGACGGCTGAATATTAAATTCATACTGTTGAAATGTTTAGCATACTAAGAGTTACTGCTCTTTCGTCCATTTAATTGGTAATTTTTTAAAGATACATGTAATTTTGGTAAGTTTTAAGGCACGCATTTTGACGAAAGTGCTCATTATTAAACTTTGAACGAGAAACCAAACAATATGGTTCAACCATATAACACGGAGGAAAAAAGAATGAACACACATTTCAATGTCTGCATCCAGAAAACACACAATTCAATGTTTGCATGCAGTAAAAGAACTTTCTGCTAATTATGAATATATAGAAAAAAAATTAATGATAGTTGCTATAAAAAATTAAAGTGTCAATTTAATTTTGTTCGTTTTGTCGATATTTTTCAAAGATTTAAAATCTGGAGAAAATGTAGAAAAACTTAATAATAGCCGCTATAACAAATTAAAGTGTCAGTTTAATTTTTTTTTTCGTTTTGTCGATTTTTTTAAAATTGAAAATCTGGAAAAAATGTAGAAAAACTTGAAGTGTCAGTTCCATTTTTGTTCGTTTTGTGAATGTTTTTAAGATTGAAAAATAACATACGAAAATTAGATCATTAAACAATTATTTCCCTTGCCTAGCACAGCATTTCAACCAATGAAATAGTTGGAAATTTTCACATCATGCATTTTCTACCAATCACAAAAGAGAGGAAGTGCATAGTCCGAAGACTATTAATTACTTCAACATAGCAGTAATTTTACCGTCTTCCTTGGAAGACGGTATACAGAGTTGAAGTAATTTCCAGTCTTTAGACTATGGACTTCCTCTCTTTTGTGATTGGTAGACAATGCATGATGTGAATATTTTCAATTAATTCATTGGTTGAAATGCTGTGATCTTATTTTCATACACATTAACAATTTTTCAAGATTCTCCATCAACCTTTAAAAAAAAATCGACAAAACGAACAAACCTAACTTGGAAAAAAATGAAACTGACACTTTAATTTTTCATAGCAATTAATAAAAAAGTGTTTCTACATTTTTATGGTAAACAGAAATGTTCTTTTTTGCAAGCAAACAATACAATTTGTGTTTATTCTTTTTTCTGTTTTGCATATTGTAGGGTTAATGTCTATAAAATGAAATCTACTCAGGAATGATAGAGCCTGATATGCGTAAGCCAGTTAACTGTTTAAGGTTGTTGCTAAAGATGGCTAAGGTCGCCCGCGTGGCGCGGTGGTTAGAGCGTTTGCTCTAATGTTGCGATGTAAGGAGTAGATCCTTACGTCGAGGAGTCGAATCCACCGCGGGACGTGGAGGCTGGTCCTTCAGATGAAACAGTATAAACCGAGGTCCAGTGTCGCAGTAGGTGTTGACATGAAAAAGATCCCTCACTCTTCAATGACCCTAAATGCCGAGTATAGGTCAAAATTTGCAGCCCTCCACAGGCAAGTGGTGGCGTCTCCATATGAGTGAAAAATTCTCGATAGGGGCGTTAAACAACAATCAAACAAAAAAATAAAAGATAGCTAAGCTTTTTGAAAAAAAAAAAAACTATACTTATTCTCTAAATAAATAACATGATTTCCAAGGTGACACAGCATAGCTTCATAAAATCTGTGACCTGTTTATGATTAATGCTGCCATCTTGTGGAAAGATAAGCAGAGAATGGTTAATGGCAACACTATATCTTTAAGACCCTGTAACACAGATCACGTAAAGAAAATTCGGATGTTATATCATAGTAACCATGGAGACAACAAAACATGATTTAAAGTTATAATTTCCTGCTACTTTATGAATATAGTTATCAAGTATTAAGTTTAGAAATCAGAAAAAATGTTACATAAATCACCAGAAATTGTATATATATGATAGAACGTAAGCTGAATGTTTTATATTGATGAAGTTCGACAAAGAAAAGAATGTTGTTCTTAAGGTGACCAATAAGACAAAAATGTTCAAATTTTTTTTTTATTTCATAGGAGTATTGAACCTAATATGGTTGCTTTTTTCATCCAGATAGAATTGAAAGATGGTCAGAATTTGGGTATTTATTTAGAGATATCAATATAAAAAGTTTTGGGGATTTATAGGATACGTATTCAAGAAAACTAACCACGTTTAAGATTTTTTTCTTATTTTTTATATAATTTCCATAGCAACGCTCTATTTAAGATTAAGTTTTTGAACTTTTTGAAAAGTATAAACTTTAAAAAATTACCATTGCCTTTAATAATTGCTTTCCAGTTATGTAGAGGGTGCTCTGTAAAAGGGTAGAAACGTATGAAAACAGAATGAATCAGGAATCCCTCAGGTTTTATTGCATAGCGAACAATAAACGAAAACGCGTTTCTTCCTTACAATACTTACAATAGGATCTTTCTTTATCATTTGATTAGATTTCAGCTTATATTAGCTCTTAATTTTTGAATGTATGTGTTATCAAAATAAATGAATAAAATCATTGTTCTCAATGCTTTGTTTTCGTGGTAACACATATAATATTTGTTTTCCCAAATATTTTTATCAACCCAATAAGACATCAAGTTTTAGACATTTGGGAACACACTTTTCTGCATCGATTCTGTTAATAGTGGGAGTCTGAATGTTCAAAATATGAAATGTTCCAAAATTTTGGACAAGCAGCCATGGTAACACATAGCAATTTATTGATACTTGATATGATTTTGTGGAATCAAATACTTTCATTATAGCGAGTTTGATAAACGTGATGACTTTAACTTTTCAATCGTCAACTTCCCTTACTTGTACAGCACTACATCCTTATCACCTGCATATGGGGTGTATATGTATATCTCTCATTTAATTCGATACGCAAGAGCATGCTCTACGTATGAACAATGTCTAAAACGAGGCAAGTTATTGACAAACAAATTGATGAAACAAGAATATCAACAGTCTCGTTAAAAGCCATCATTTCGTAAGTTTTATG